CTCTCTCGTCCCTTCTCTCACTACTCTCTCTAACTCTCTCATCTCTCTCTCTCCCATCTAACTCTACTCTCATTCTCATCTCTCTCCTCTCTCATCTCTCTCTATCTATCTCTCTCTAATGTCCTCTCTCATCTTCTCGCTAATTCTATCTCTCTCTCTCTCTCTCTACTCACCTCTCGTCCTCTCCGTCTCTCTCTTCTGCACACTCGTCTCTCTTCTCTCTCTCTCCTCTCCTCGCTCTCTCTCTAAAACTCTCACTCTCTCTCTCTCTCTCTCATCTTCTCTCTCTCTCTCTCTCTCACCTTCTCTCTCTCTCTCATCTCTCTCTCTCCCTCTCTCTCACTCTCTTCTCTCTCAATAACTCTACAACTCTCTACCTCTCTCTCTCTCTCATCTCTCTCATCTCTCTCAACATCTCTCATCGCGCACTCTCTCTCTCTCTCTCGGCTCAAGCTATCTCTCTCGATGTATCTCTCACTCTCCGTCTATCTCCGCTCGCTCTCTCTCTCTCCTCTAACAAAGCTCACTCCTCTCTCTCTCTCTCTCTCTCTATCTTTTATTATTTTTTTTTTTTTTTTTTTTTTTTTTTTTTTTTTTTTTTTTTTACACAGGGTTTGACAGGTGTAGGATCCCTAGCGTTTTGTGACAGCTATTTACAGGTTAAAATTCCTAACTTTAATTTGGCAAGCTAAGAGCAGATAACCTACATCAGCACATTTTGAAAGCATTTTTGTTAAGAGACATACTAGTAGGAACCAGGATGAAGTTGAGCCATCTGTGGGCCAGCAACTTATCCTTGATCAACTGACAAAATCTTCGTATGACATCATTAGCATGTACAATGATGTGTTCCATACTCGAGTCATCCGGGTATGTATGATCTCAGATGGAGTGATGATCTGGATAAGGTACAGCCAGAACAGTGAATTGCAGCTTTCTGCCGTCTTGTTGCATAAATGCCTTGGTTCACGCCTGTCCTCGATAGTGATCCAAGTGTGGTAGTTTTTTTTTTGACAATATGCCTTGTACATAACATAAGGCCACCCACATCCCTCCCTATGTTGAAGGCTCTGCTTAATTGACAGATCTATCCAAGGATGGTTCTCTCGTCTCTCTCTCTCTCTCCATCTGATCAGCTTCTCTCTCTCTCTTCGTTCTCTCTCTCTCTCTATCTCCTCTCTCTCTCTGTATCTCCTCTTCTCTCTCTCTGCAGCTCTCTCTTCTCCTTCTCTCTCTCCATCTCTCTCTCTTCTCTCTCTCCTCTATCTATCTCTCTCTATGTCTCTCTCACCACTCTCTAATCTCCCTCTCTCTCTCACTCTCTCTCTCTACTAATCTCTCTCTCTATCTCTCTCTCTCCTCATCATTCTACATCTCTCGTCCTATCCCTCTCTCTCTCTCCTCTCTCTACATCCTCCTTCTCTCTCTCTCTCTCTCCTATCTCATCTCCTACTCTCTTCTCCTCTCTCTCTCTCTAGCTCTCTCCTCTCTCTTCTCTCTCTCCTCTCTCTCTCTGCTCTCTTCCTCCCCTCCATCTTCTCTCTCTTCTCTCTCTCTCCTCTATAAACTCTCTCTCCTCTCGTCTCTCCTCTCTCGTCTCTCAATCTCTCACTCTCTCTCATCTCATCTCTCTCTCTTCTCTCTCTCTCTCTCTAATCTATCTCTCTCTATGTCTCTTCTCTCTCTCTCTATCTCTCTCTCTCACTCCGTCTCTCTCCCTCTCTCTCTAATCTATCTCTCGCTCTCTCATCTCTCTCTCCTCTCTCTCTCTCTCTCTCTCTCTCTCTATCCTATCTAACTCTCCTCTATTTTTTCTCTCCCTCTCTCTCTATCCTCTCTCTCTCTCGACTCTCTCTCCTCTTTCTCCAGTCTCTCCTCCTCTCTCAGCTAAACTCTCTCTTCTCTCCTCTCCATCTCCTTCTTCTCTCTCTCTCTCTCTCTCCATCTCTCTCTCCCCTCTCCTCTCTCTCTCTCCTCTATCCTATCTCTCTCTTCTTGTTTCTCTCTCTCTCCTATCTCTCTCTCTCTCTCTCTCATTCTCTCTCAAAATTCCCCCCATCCGACTCCGTCAATCGTGTTCTCGTCTCTTCTTCTCTCCTCTCTCTCTCTCTCTCTTTCTACCTATCCTCACTCTATTCTCCTCTCTCTCTCTCTCTCTTCTCAATCTTTCTCTCCCTCTCTCATCGCTCTCCTCTTCTCTCTCTTCTTCTCTATCTCTCTCTCTCTCTCCTCCTCTCATCACTCTCTCTCTCACACCTCTCTCTTCTCTCTCCTCCCATCTCTCTCTCTCTCTATCTACTCTCTCTATGTATTCTCTCTCTCCCTCTACTCATTATCTCTCTACCTCTCCACTCACATCTCTCATATCTCTCTCTCTATCTCTCTCTGCTCTCGTCTCTCTCTCTCTCTCTTTCTATACATCAATCTCGTATCTCTCTCTCTTATCGTCTCCTCCCACTCACTCTCTCATCTCGCTCTCTCTCTCGTCTCTACTCACTCGTCTCTTCTCTCTCTCTCTCTCTCTATCTAATCTCTCTCTATTTCTCTCTCATCCTCTCTACTATCTATCTATCTCTCCTCTCTCTCTCTCTCCTCTCACTCTCTCTCTCTCATCTCTCTCTCTCTCTCTTCTCTCTATCTAGATCCTCACTCTTCTCCATCTCTCCTCTCTCATCTCTCTCTCTCTCTCTTCTCTGCTCTCTCTCTCTACATCTATCTATCTGCTCTCTATTCTTTCTCTCTCTCTCTCGATCTCTCTCTCTCTCTCTCTCCTCCTTCTCCGCTCCACTTCATCTCATCTCACTCCGTCTCTAGCTCTCGTCTCTTCCTCTCTCCTCTCTCCTCTTCTCTCATACCTCTCTCTCTCTCTCTCTCTCTCTCTCTCTCTCTCTCTATCTACTCTCCTAATGTCACTCCTCTCTCTCTCTCTACTCTCTCTCTCTCTCTCACTCTCATCTCTCTCTCTCGTCACTCCCCTCCTCATCTCTCACTTTACTCTTCTCTCTCCTCTCTCTCTCTACCAACTAACCATGTACTCACCATTACACTACCATCTACCCAACATTACACTAACATCTACGCACAATACACTACATCTACTCCCCATTCACTACCATCTACTCACCATTAACACTACCATCTATAGAAACATTACACACCATCTACTCACCCTTACACTGACCATCTACTCACCATTAATACACTACCATCTACTCACACATTACACTACCATCTACTCACCATTACACTACCATCTACTCACCATTACACTACCATCTACTCACCATTACACTACCATCTACTCACCATTACACTACCATCTACTCACACATTACCCTACCATCTACTCACCAAATACACCACCATCTACTCACACATTAGCACACAATCCTACACACCATTACACTACCCTCCCTCCCTCTCTCCCTCAACTTTTACTACTCGCTCCTTCCTCCCTCTCCTCCCTCACGTACTACCCTCCCTCCCACTCTCCCCTCACGTTCTACCCTCCTCCCTCTCTCCTCCTCACTTTACTACCCTCCCCACCTCTCATCCCACCACCTGCCTAGACTTTTCTTTTTCCTGGTAATTTACACTATATATGAGATTATCACTTATGACTACGTGTGTGCAAAATACATTTACCTCCTTCACTAATTCCCCATCCTTAAACCTCCCACATCTCATCTCCCACCTCCATCTCCCACCTTCCATACCCCACCCTCCCTCCTCGCAGTGACCATGACCACCACACCAACAAACAGCCTGACATGATCCTGTAATGGTAAACACGTTCTTAACCAAGATAAAATTCTACCTACGTTTATTAGCCACCAGACACATAGTTTAACTCACTGTGACACCAGAGACGAACCTTTCACCCGTCAGTTTCCTTAAGTCGCCCAAAGACTGGGTCTTAAAATGGTCAGTTGGTGGGGGGGGTCAATCCTACCCATCTACACGAAGTCATTAAGAACGCAAACGGTAACCTCACCACCAGACAAGACTAATCCATAAATGCAATTAAAGCGAAACTCCATATATAATGTTTTCACCATATAAGAACGCATGCTCGAGTAGATAAGACAGTATAGTGTTTCTGTGAACTGCATAAAGATTTTGCACTCTGATGCTAGTGCGGCTCTGGATCCAAAGATTGGAGCAGGTAGCTGCTCTTAAAATTAAAATGTTCCGCATAAAGGCGCCCGAATATGAGCTGATGAGACGATATTCCGGAATTGCAATTGCAACGTAATGGTTTACCAACAACTGCTAATTTTTACCTGATCCTAAACCGTGGTGCAGATAAGACCCAGACTTTCCCGTGTGGGGAAAACGCGTCTTATATGAGGGACAGATCACCTCAAACACCTATCTTGAAACCACTCGTCCTTGTATTGTCTGATAAGTCAATACGTTTCCCACAAGATACACTATGTTACACAATGTCTAGTTTAACCAACATGTGGGTACTGCGTATATCCATGATATCACACAGTATAGGTGATATGTCAAGCAGTCTGCTGGTTGTTCTTTCTTCTCTGATCCTCGTATCAAACCCCCTGTATGATCCACCAACGTAAAAGCTTACCACAGGAATTAACACACACTGAGCCAAGTTACGAAATGATCCCAATACGCACACCACTCGTGAAGACAGACTCATCCCCTTATATCTAGCACCTGCAATAATGTGATCACTGTATTCAAACTGAAGAACCCCCCTTAACCAGTGCTGAAACTTCCACTCAGCAATAAACACAGGTAGACTGTGAAGATTAAGAACACATGTTGACAACAGCTGATAGTCTTCATATGATGAGACATTTCGCCTACACATACGTTTATTCATCCACCTACAGAATCAAAGTTATATTGAGAGGAAATGATTTATCATCCCATCAAGCCTCAGAGATAAAAGTAAGTAAGTGGGTCAGTCACCTATCACCTGGTATCAGTTCACTCCTGGCTCTGAAAACTGGAACAGCATGTTCACAGACCATGGAACTGGAACACTGGAACAATGTCCAGACCATGAACTCTTTCTCCAGCTAGTTTGACCATCTCAAATACTTCTACAAGGTATGAGACTGATTTCATCACCATTATTACCTCACTACCACCACGCCTGCTGTCATGCTGACATTGACTGAAAAGTCAAAGTGTAGGCTTACTCAAGAACTAGTGCACCGCAGTGTCTTAGCTTCATATTCTCGATATCCCCCCCAAAATAAATTTTCACAACAAATCAATAGTATAAACCAATGTAATCACCTTGTGACTGAAGAAATTCATCTTAACCAAAGAATGAGCCAGCATCCCACCCTAGTCCGTCGCGGCCCAGAATGCTTCCTCACGTATTTGAAGCTAGATATGCACGAAGAAGGATGAGAATAAGAGCAAGGAGCACACCGGAGAAAAGAGGAGGCCAGGCGGAGAGGAAATGCTCCATCCATGGTTCAGAAGGCCTCTTACTCTGTTTCTTGTTTTACAAGCTCCGTCAACCAAATCCGCTGGATCCTCCCATGTTCACCTTAGAAACACGATAACTAAATCTTGCAAGTTAGTTTTACGTCAAATCACACTAATGAACACCAACACATCTCATTACACTATTCTATATGATTAGTTACATGTAGAACACTCAGCATAGGTGCTACACAATTCTATGAAGTAGTTTCATTATGGGACACCAGCAGTGTGTTGCTACACTATCTATACGTTAGTTACATATGGGACCCCACAGTGTGTTGCTACACTATCTATATGATAGTTACGATTATATTACGACACCAGCAGTGTGTTGCTCAACACTATCTCTAATGATAGTTTACATTATGTACACCAGCATGTTTTGCTACACACTATTCCTATATATATCTACTTTCTGGGACCCAGCATAGTATTGCTACACATTCTATATATAGTACATATATGGGACACCAGCAGTGTTGTCAAACACTATTCTATATGATTAGTTTACATTATGGACACCAGCAGTGTAGCTACACTATCTATAAATGAGAGTTTACATACTATGGGACACCACATGTTGCTACACTATTCTATATGATAGTTTACATTTTTATAGACACCAGCATGTTGCTAGACAATTCTAAATGATAGTACATATGGACAAAACCCCATGTTGGCCTACAACTAAGTCTATATGATATTACATTATGGGACACCACAGTGTTGCTACACAACTATTCTATCTACATAATTTACATTATGATGACACCAGCAGTAATATTCCACTCATACTACTTCATACAGGAAGAGGTTCATACATCAGGTAATATAAATGTTTCAGACTAAGCTGGCAGATTTTGGTAAGACCAGACGATATGTTTAGCAGGATTCAATCTTGGAAGATACTGGCTGGGAAATGGGTTGACTGGGGGGGAACACAGTTGGAATGGTTTACTGGGCAGTGTTGGGATATTTACGGGGGAGAGTTGGGATGGTTACGCGGTAGTGTTGGGATGGTTGACTGTGGGGTTTGGCTTGTTACTGGAGGCAGGTGTTGGGATAGTTACTGGGATGTTGGGATGGGTTACTGTGTATGTTGGGATGGGTTACTGGGAGGTGTTGGGATGGGTTACTGGGTATGTTGTGGATGGTTTACTGGGTTAGTGTTGGGGGATGGTTATCTGGGGAATGTTGGGGAAGGGTTAATGGGGACTAGTGTTGAGGATGGGTTATGTGTAGTGTTGAGGTGGGTTACACTGGGGTAGTTTGGGGATGGTACGGGGAGAGTTTGGGATGGTTTACTGGGTAAGTGTTGGGGATGGATACTGGGGGAATGTTGGGATGGGGTTACTGGGTAGTGTTGGTTTGGGTTACTGGGAGTGCTGGGATGGCTACTGGGGTAAGTGTTTTGGGGATGTTACTGTGGAGTGTTGGATTGTTACTGGGGATGTTGGGGAAGGGCAACTGGGGGTGTTGGAAGGTTACTGGGGGAAGTGTTGGATGGGTTACTGGGGACGTTTGGGATGTTTACTGGGGAGTGTTGGGGATGGTTACTGGGAAGTGTTGGAGATGGTTTACTGGGAAGTGTTGGAGATGTTACTGGATAGTGTTTGAGGGGGATGGGTTACAAGGGTAGTGCTTGGGATGGTTACACTAGGGTGCGTGTTGGGGATGGTTACTAGGGTAGTGTTTGGGATGGGTTACTGGGGAGTATGTTGAACTGGTTACTGGGTATGTTTTTGGGATGGTTACTAACATAGGGTAGTGTTTGGAATGGGTTTTCTGGGTAGTGTTGGGGATGGGTACTAGAGTATGGTGGATGGTACTGGGGTAGTTGGAGATGGGGTTACATAGGGAGTGTTGGAGAGGGGTTACGGGTAGTGTTGTAGAAGGTTACTGGGGTAGTGTTGGAGATGGTTACTGGGGAGTGTGAATGGTTACTGGTGAAGAGTTGGGTTGGATTACTGTGTAGTGTTAGGATGGGTTGTGAATGGGTAGTGTTGGGAATTTAACTGGGATAGTTGGGGATGGTTACTGGGAAGTTTGGGAGGGTTACCTGGGTAGGTTTTGGGGATGGGTTACTGCGGGATGTTAGGGAGGGTGACTGGGGGAGTGTTTTGGACTGGTTTCTGGGGAGTGGTGGACACATGGTTACTGGGGAGATTGTTGGGGATGTTACTGGGGGAGTGTGGGATGGGTACTGTGGGATGTTGGGGATTGTTAAGGGGAAGTGGCTGGGAATGGTATACTGTGGAGGGTTGGGGATTGGTTACGGTACATGTGGGGATGGGTTTACTGGTGAGGTTGGATGGGTTCCGGGGACAAGTGATTGGGAATGGTTACTGGTGAGAGTTGGGAGGAGTTACTGTGAATGTGGGGATGGTTCCTGAGGAGTGTTGGGAAGGGTTTACTGGGGGAGTGTTGGGGATGGTTTACTGGGAGTTTGGGATGGGTTACTGGGGAGAGTTGGAGGGTTCCTGGGGAGTGTTGGGATGGACTTACTGGAGTGTTTGGGATGGTTTCGGGGGATTTTTGGGATTTCCTGGGAATGTTGGGGATGGGTTCCTGGGAGTGTTGGATGTTTACTGGTGGAGTGTTTGGATGGTTACTGGGGTGTGTTGGGAGGGTTCCTGATGGTGGGGAGGGGTTCCTGGTATGTTGGATGGGTAACTGGAGTGTGGGTGTAACAGGGGGAGGTTGGATGGGTTTCCTGGTGTTTGGTGGGTTCCTTGGAGTTTTTGGGATGTTCACCCTGGGGGAGTGTTGGGATGTTATTGGGATGTTTGGTGGATGGTTCCTGGATAGTTGGGATGTACCTGGATGTTTGGGGATGGTAACTGGAGTTTGGGGGATGGTAACTGGGGATGTTGGGGATGTTCTGGAGGGAGTGTTTTGGGGTTGGTAACTTGGGATGTTGGGATGGGTAACTGGTAGCCTGTTGGGATGGATCTGGGGAGTGTGGTGATGGGATATACTGGTGGCCACGGTTTGGGGATGGTTACGGGGGAGTGTTTGATGTTACTGGGGATGTGGATGGGTTTACTGTGGAGTGTGTTTGGTTACTGGGGGATTTGGATGGGTGACTGTGGGAGTTTTTGGGATTGGATTACTGGTGAGAGTGTTTGGGAGGGTTACTAGGGGAGTGTTGGATGGTTCATGGGATGTTGGATGGTTACTGGGGAGTGTTTAGGGGATGGGTACTGGGATGTTGGAATGGTTTCCCTGGGGGAGTGATGGGGATGGTTTACTGGGGTAGTGGTGGATGGTTACTGGGGATTGTTGGGGATGGTTACTGGGGGAGTGTTGGGGATTGGTTTCCTGGGAGTGTTGCGGGAGGATACGGAGTTGTGATGGTTATACTGCAGTGATGATGGGGATGGGATACAGGGGGAAGTGTTGGGATGGTAACTAGGGGAGTGTTGGGGATGGTTACTGGGAGTGTTGGATGGTACTTACATGGGAGTGTTGGGGATGGAGTTTACTGGGGGAGTGTTGGTGGATGGGGGTGGTTTTACTGGGATGTTGGATGTAACTGGGGAGTGTTGGGATGTTCCGGGATGTGTAGGAAGGTAACTGGGGGAGTGTTGGATGGTAACTGGGGTAGGTTGGGATGGGTCAACTGGGAGTGTTGGGATGTAACTTGGTAGTGTTGGGATGGTAACTGGGGGAAATGTTGGAGGTAACTGGGAGTGTTGGATGTTAACTGGAGTGTTGGGATGGTTACTGGAGTGTTATGTAACTGGGAGTTTGGGATGGGTAACTGGGGAAGTTGGGGATTGGAACTGGAGTTTGGATTTAGGTTACTGTTATGTTTGGGATGTTTACTGGGGTTGTTGGGATGTAAGACTGGGTGGAGTGTTGGGGAGGGACTAAACTGGGTATGTTTGGGATGTTAACGGGGGATGTACGGGATGTATCAGGATGTTGGGGATTGGGTAACTGGGATGTTGGGGATGGACTGGGAGTTTGGATGGTAACTGGGGAAGTGTTCATGGATGGGTAACGGGGAGTGTTTGGCGGGATGGGTATCTGGGGTAGGTTGATGTTTTACTGTGTGAGTTGGGATGGGTTACTGGGATGTAGGGGAAGTTAGTAACCAAGGGTGGTTTGGTGGATGGTAGAACTGGGAGTGTTGGGATGGTGTATAGGGGATGTTTGGGGATGGGTAACTGGGGAGTGTTGGGGATGGGTAACTGTGTAAGTTTTGGGGATGGTTACTGGGAGTGTTGGGGAGGGGTTACTGGGAGAGTGTTGGGGATGATTAACTGGGGTAGTGTTGGGATGGTAAAACTGGGGGAGTGTTGGGAGGGGTTACTGGGGAGGTTGGATGGGGTTACTGGGGAGTGTTGGGATGGGTTACTGGGAGTGTTTGGGATGGTTACTGGGGAGTGTTGGGATGGGTTACTAGGGGTAGTGTTGGGGATGGGTTACGGGGGAGTGTTGGGATGGTTACTGGGAGTGTTGGGGTGGCTACTAGGGAGTGTTGGGTTGGTTAACTGCGGGGTATGTTGGAGGTTACTGGATGTTGGAGGGTTACTGGGTAGTGTTGGGATGGGTTACTAGTGGTAGTTTTGGGATGGTTACTGGGTAGTGTTTTTTTAATAATATTTTTTGGGATGTACTGGATGTTGTGAGGGTATGCTTGGATTTGGGTAGTTACTCTGGGTAATTGTT